ATATAATTGCATGCGACATTCAAAACTACAGACAAAAGTTAAATCTCATTGTTTTCCAGCCTTGTCCCTACCAACATCTGGCCTTTTTCTTGGCTCAATGAAACTCTTAGATTGGACACAATTGTATAATTCATGTCTCATTTAAAAATAACTGGACTGTTCACCCTTCAGATTTAATGACATGCATTTGTAAGATGTGATTAGTTAATCATTTATACAAAGAACTCAATCTCTCAACCAAATGAACTCACATTCACATTCCTATAAAAAACAAAGGAATAGCCAAAGAACTCACATTCACAATCTGTCCATCATTCCTATTCCCATCCAACTCAACTTTTTTTTTTTTTTTTTTTTTNNNTTCAAAAAGATATTTTTTATGAAAATATATAACAAGTTACCGTAGAGTAATGAACATAATAAATAAGATGCAGCTTAAATAAACGATAATTTACCCTATCATTTATGTTAGCTTCAGCATCATTGTCTGTGTTTGTAGGTATTGGTGCAAGGGATTAACTTGAAAAAACTTGGTCACTATCTTGTGGAGGCTGAGATTCAGTCGTGGGGACTTCAACTTGTTCTTGATCTTGGTCATCTTTCTTTTTCTTTCTAGCATTATGACCAACTTCTCCACAAACTCTACATTTCACTGTCCTCTGTTGACTTCTCAATCTGTGAGGATAATGCACTTGTGGCTCAATTGGTTTCTTCTCCTTGCTTTCTTAGGTCTTCCAGCTCTCTTCAATACTATAGGATCTTTGATAAATCAAGAGTTTTGGGAGGAGAGAAATTGGCCAAAATCGAGAAGCTTAAGAAGGAGAGAAAATTAAGAGTTTTGGGAGGTTAAGGAAATTCGACTACTCGTCCACTACGACAAATCAGAAATGTTGAAAGGTCATACAATAAAAATTCGAAGGTTTTATATTTTTGCAATCCCGACAAATATATATTCAACCTCACAAGTTTTTTGACAACCACTAACCTTGGCTTGCACCTCCACCAGCGATCACCACCACCGGAAAAAACCATCGGCTGCACACCGGTGACGAGAGACGGCGGCACCCAACGACTGCAGCATGATTTAGCGACCCACAACACATGCTCGTGCGACCCACAACACCCGACAACTCGACGATCCCCTTGGCGACTCATAGGCGATCAGTGGGTAGTGTTCAATGATTAGACAAGGCTCAGACGATCCCTGTCAATGGAAATAAATAAAGTCTAAGAGCTTATGAATTTTTTAAATGTATGTCCTTGGATCCTATCAATATATTTTATTGCGATATGACTAAATTCGTTAAGTTTTTCGAGTTGCACATGAGTCGCCATTCTTAACTGAACCAACATCCTTTGCATAACTAGTGCATCAACATAGTCAAGGAACACTGTGCCACAAGAAGATTTTTCCAAATATTGATCAATGTCTGAATCTGTCGATCGATCCACCCATTACACATCAACGTGCACCGTATTGTGCTATAGATTGAGTATGATCACCTCATCTTCAATATGTGTTCTTTCTCGTTCTTAAGCAATGAGCCTTTTATTTGATAGTATGTCCTGGAACCATAATTTCCAATGGCCTCAATCATGGGCTCAAAAGGCGCACAATTGACCACATTAAAAGGGTTCGCGACTTCGTATAAAAATCTTAAAATATTTTCCTAGTTTATTCTTATTTGTTTTCCTTTTCTCTTTTGACTTTCCACAACAACTTCGGTATCGGGTGTAAAATAACAATCAGTAGCCCCTTTTGTTTTTGGCCTTTTGACTTGAAATTGAGTCTTCTTCATGTTGCTACATTGAGTGGATGCAATGGAGGATAAATTCCTTGGGTCAGGAACTTGAGACCAATCTCTTATTTCTGAACCTCGTAATCATCAAAGTCAACTGCTTCAACAATGTATACACAATTTTGTTGTGCTCCATTTGCTTTTTCTTTTTTCATTTCCATGAACTCATTTACTTATTCACGAACTTTCGCCGGACATCTCGAACATCGTACGACATTTGGAAAGCCTACATCCCAATGTTGTTTCATTCACGAGACTCCGCTTTGTACATGATTCCATGTATATTGCAAGTAATGCATGTATATTTGTGGTGTCCCTCACCGAGTATTTCCTAGCAACATCTTTTTTACTATTGTTCTTCACATCTACAAAAACATAAGTGTAAGCATCATCATGACAATAAAATAAAATAAATAAAATAAAAAGTATATTGATACAGTTCCAGCCTACATTCAAATTAAAGTAAGTGTTGAATTGCTTTGTAGCGAGGATTGGTTGATAACCGAGTTATCCAAACTCGGGTCGTATCTCAAGGAAGACGGTTAAGAGCTTCGCCTACTAACTAGTTTTCCGAAGGCACAAAAATAGCAAATAAAATCCTAAACATGCTAATCATGGTGATTGAGGTTGAATTACGACTAATTAAAGCTAAGAATCGAGAGCATTGAAGTAAAGATGCAAGCTCCGAAAGAGAAAGACGTGAACTCTGGTTATTCAGAGTCTCTGTGAATTGATGAAAATAAAAATAAATGAAGAGAAAATATGCTAGTAAGGAGATCCTAGGTAGATTAACTGAGCTTTGTTTACTAAATAATCACACTTTAACAAAGTCGAGACTTTAATAACAAGATAGGCAAAGATATAACTCCTAACACTCAAGCACGCAAGAAAATAAAAGCAAAGTCCAAGAACCGAGCATATACACTTGATTCTGACCAATAAACCAACCCAACCTTGGTAAACATCGTAAGATAGAAGGAAACAAACTCGAAGTAATAAGCCCTAATCGAGGTACATACTCTCCTATCGCAAGCTCGAACAAAAATAATGCTTAAAGAGCGAATCTTGAATAAAAATAAGGTCGCTGAAAAATCGCCTGAATTGTTGTCGAAAAATATCAAGTCTTGGAGCTCCCAAACACAAAACATAAAATAAATAAAAAAAAAACTTATTCCCAAAGTGGTAAAAGTTGAAAATGAAAGCTTGGTTTCCAAAATATAAAGGGAAGAAATGTATTTACACTACTTCAATGAAGAGAACTCGTTGGGTCGCCGACTGCATTTCACGGGCGGAGGTGCCAGACTCGCGGGGGCACGACTTCAAGTCCTCGGGCGAGTGCGCGGTTGGATGGTTGGGAGCACTCGCGGGCACGCGGATGGTGTGTCGCGGGCGAGCTAGACGCCTGGCAAATGTGCTTGTGCCTGGAACTCGCGATTCGAAATAAATTAAACATAGGTCTCTAGTGTCGTAAAGCTCCTACCACTAGCAGAGTTGAAATTAGCAGAGTTAAAAAATATAACTAGACTGTGCACTAGCAGAGCTCCTGAGCAACTCTTCATGTCAATGGTTTGTGGAGGGGAAATTCCAAAGCCTTAACCAAACTAGTAAGTGAAAAATGCACGAAGCAAGTCCCTGCAAGTATGTGCCCAAGTATGAGCAGGTATTATCATTTTGGGATTGTTAATTCTCCTTTTTCAAAGCTTTTGTTGTGTAATGAGTCTTGTGGTTCGGTTTCTAACGTCGCTAGTGTCGGTTATAGGTGGTTTTCGGATCCGTCGTCCCAATTTTTTCAGCTTTTAGTTGTATAATTCATTTTGAGGTTGCACCTTTGCACTTCTGTGGATTTTTTTCTATAAAATTCTCTTTCCGAAAAAAAGAGGTCCCTGCAAGTAGTTTGATAGCCATGGAAACCTGAGTTCAAAATTTCCGGTCACAAGAAATAATTTTACTCTTCTAAACCAAATACATTTAAAGAACAATACCGAGGGCTATCGTTGACAATGAAAGTGAAGAAACACAAGCGCCATGTAATAGGGCTGAGCATGAGACTCGAAGAATTTTGAACCGTTCCGAAAACCGAACAGAAATAACTCCGAACCGAAAAATAATCGTTGACCGTTTGACTTTCTCCGAACCAAACCGAACCGAAAAAATAATTGGTACGGTTCTGGAGATGTCACAAATATCCGTACCGAGAACCAAACCGAACCGTCTCGTAACCGAATTATAACATTAGATGTGTTATTAATATATTTTATGTCAACTTTGATTCTATATAATATAGTAATAAATATTAACCTTCACTTAAATTTTATGCTTAGTAATACTTGATCTACAATTGAATTTTTTCTATTATAAAATAATTATTTAAAACAATATGAAATTTTAAAGATTATTTTATAAAAAAAATATATTATATTTTATTTGAATTTTAAATTTTTAATATTAGTTGCACAAATTTAGTTATAACTAAAATCTAGAGTTACTTATAAAGTTGATTTCAAAAAAAAATCTTTAATGTGAGGAAGTACTGACGAATGTTGGTTATATTAAAGCATATAAAAATTAAATAACTAAAATTTAGATTACTTCTAGAATTGATTTCAAAATAAAATCTTCAACATGATGAATTATTGCTGAATGTTGTTTTTTTTTAAAGCATATAAAAATTAAAATATAACTAGATAGTCATTCAAAAATAATTTTAAAAAATAAAAAATCTCCGAAGATTCGAACCAAACCATACCGAACCGAACCGTCCCAATAGTCTCGTATACCGAAACGAACCGAATCAAAAAATAAAAATCTCCGAACCGAACTGAACCGACTTTTTGTTACGGTTCCGGAGATCAAATTTTGAGATCTTCGAAATTTGGTACGGTTCTGGAGATTTATCAATCTCCGAATCGTAGTGACCCACGCCCACCCTTACCATGTAACGCTTTTTGTACCTTAAGATTTATTAAAAATAAAAAATAAAAATTCAAACATCTACCTTCCCAATAATTTGGAAGGGAAAAGTAGTAGAAATAAATAATAACTACATCAAAATGTACACAACACAAAACAATGTAATTTTCCAATATTCATCATCAGCTCCAACATGTAAAAAAGATACATGGCCGGCACAAACTTCTTATTAATCTCCATCAAAATGGAAAACAACATTTTTTCCCAAAAAATTTTAATGTTAACTGAAACCTAGTTGACAACATCAAGCACCAGCTTTCTGGACTTGAGAACCGGCCACTTCAATCGCCTGTCGTAACCAGCCTGAAGTAGTGCCAGTGACAGGACAAATATCCACTTGAACCCCATCTGCCATTTTCATTCAGAAACACGAACACATGTTAGGTAAATCGGGAAACTGGAAAAGACAATAGCTGTGGTATTTTTTCATCTATATATGCCCGTGATAGTTTTTACCAGCTTTCTCTCTTCCATTTCCAGCTCTGCTGCCCAGGACAAAAATGACACCACATCTTTTCCCATCTATATAACAACACAGAGAAGATGAGAAACAGCAAAAGACTTCCTTTGAGACTTAAACAAAAAGCTTAACATTCGAAATAACGAATATGTATCCACCAAGGTACTAACACATAACAACTAGAGAGTTGTAATGATTCGAAAAGAAGATTCTTCTCGCATGATGCAAAATGTAAGGGCAGCTTATTTAATCTTTTATTTACAGTAAATCTACCTGTGCTTCTGTTGCGGGTGTATCATCTTCATACTCAACAGCACCATCATTAAGCATTTTAGGCATTGCGATTGCTCCACCAGGGAAGTAAGGGTTATAATGCAATCCTTCACGAATCTGTTTCAGGAGTACTTCCCATTTGTTTAACAAATCAACCAAATAGTACCAAGCTTTTACTTGAGACAGAAAAGTCCACATATCAGTAAAGCGAATAAAGCGTTCCTGAGAACAAAAGCAAAGAATGCAAGTTTTATAATTCGAACAGTGTTAAATAACAACAATAAAAATACTTTTTACAAAAAAAAAACAACAATAAAAAATTATTAACAACAATATAAGTGGATAAAAGATGAAATGTCACACCACAATACAACGATACTCTGGACCCTGAGGGTACAATATGTTCTTGTGGATAACTCCATGGAAATGCACATTGTTTCACATTATCTACCCACAAACTTGACCAAAATCCATAAAACGGAGCTAGGTGGATTTCACACTGTTTGACCAAATCTCGAATTTCAGCCGGACAAATGAAAATTTAATTTTCTTGAAGATGATCAATAAAAACAGTGGCTCCACAAACACAATATGTTCTTTAAGGATGTATTCAATACCCATAGAAAAACAAAACACAATTTCTTAGCACTAAAAACACAGGAAAAACCAAATACCGACGTTCAAAACCAAATTTTAG